ATGTGAGTTGAGCTTACGTTTCCATTGAATTTCACACATCACCTAAAACGAAATTGGGTGAATACATCTCATACTACTGACTTACTGGTAGTCACAAAAACAATACTTTATTCGAAAATATGAGATGTATTCACCCAATTTCGTTTAAGGATGAGAACAACTTTTGTGAAAGCAAGGCTATGTGAAATTCAATGGAAACGTCAGCTCAACTTATATCATTGTGGGAAAATTGTTCTTCTACCATTCCTTCATCAGCTTAAACAAAATTGGGTAAATACCTCTCATACTACTGATTTACTGGTAGTCACGAAAACAATACTTTATTCGAAAAATACAAGACTGTAAAGCCAAAGGAAGCTGTCGACAAACTGAAGGCCACACAATCTGGGTCTTCATTTCTACAAACCAAGTCAACAAGTCTGTCCAGTTCTGTATTGCCTCTTCTGCATATTCATGGGGAAAAATGGAAATCTACATGCAACGACAGACTTAGAATGTTATGGCCAATTATCTCTCATATTGCACGTGTTACTATGACTTGAGTGTGTGTGTGTGTGTGTGTGTGTGAACCGCGTCAACCTGAAGACTGTATTAAAGCCAAACGGCTGCAGTTGAACGGGAATCGGCTGTCGTCTTCTGGCGAGACCCTCCGACGAATCTCTTCATCAAACACACTTTCATATGAAATGAAATTCTCCCCCAAAAGATCTATTGGCAGTTTCGAAAAGCTTCTTATACACTGAATGTTGACGCAGTCCGTTCAAGCAACTTTTTCCCCGAAATTAGTCGAGTCCCATTCTATTACTCAGCTTTTTCTTCTTGCTCTCTCTTTCCTCTCATCACTTCTACCACTTCCGCTTCTTAAGCAACAAATAGTTGCCATCCGATTTGAGGATATTGGCTTGCCACAAACCGTGTTTTGGATCATTCTATTTCGTGTCCGGTCGTAGTCAATTGTTTGACCAATACAGATTTTCGGAGCCAAAGCCCTTTGCAGGTGGTTTCCTATTCAGTTGACCTCTTTCGGATGAATCCTCAGGTCTCTTTCACATGATCACAAAACTTAATGTAGCTTCTAAGCCACAATTTGCTGCAACATGGCGGCATGAAGAGGTGCACTAATTTGAGGATGAAAGCATCAAGTTTAACAAGCTCGATTGTAAAAGTATTCTTAATGATTCAGTTTACTTTCACTTCTTATAAAAGTGTTTGGCTTTACTGGAACATTCTTGCTGACGCCTTTCCCAAAGTAAGCTCTTTCAATTCTGGTCAAAGAATGCTAAGCTTCCCTCCGTCACATGACGTGCATCATCAACAGCATCAACAATAAGAGTAGCATAACAGCAGCAACAATGCCATTCTCAACATTCTCGAAGACATCATCATCTTCACTTTTATTATAATCCAAATCAAAAAGAGAATCGTAATATGTCCCATCAAACAACAATTCCGACAAGAAACTCGGCAAAAAATTCGTCAAAATTAGCAACAATGCATACACAACATCGTCAAAAACAACAGCATCATCAACCACATCAGCAGCACCAAAATTGCTATCAACCATCTCAACAACAACGACAACAGCATCAACATCGTCATCATCATCATCCTTATCAACATTGTCCTCATTAGCAACACCAGAAGAAGCAGTACCTCATCCTCAATATCTACAGCAGCAGCATCAATATAATCGGCTTTATCATTCTCAATTACAGAATCATCAGCATCATTATCAACAACATTAACACAAACAACAAAATCACCATAATTAACAACAACAACATCACAGCATTAGTATCTTCATTAGTTTAATTATCGGGACTCGAAACTGGGTCGGAATCTGGCCCGAGCCAGATTCGTCTTAGGAAAGCTGATGCCAGTCGACATTGTCGCTCGAAGGTATCGGCGAGTCCTGGCCCACTTCGACCTGAGCCAACAAGCCAAGGGAACACTCGACCACGCTACAGAGACTGGAAGAAAAGTTTGGTTTTGAGGAATGGGCGAAAACACCGGTGTTGGGCATGCCTAACTAAAGCCTATTTCACACACACACACACACGCACATATATATATATATATATAATCACATCTTTCTAGAATGACAAATGGAATTAGCCAATCAAATCACTTGGTACCTCGCAAAAAAGTAATGGCCATTCTAATCATCCTCGGACACACTAAATGGTTAGTCTGAATTCTCCCACAATCATATCTTTTGGGAAGGAATATCTGAAGAAAATGTTGAGTCTTGATGGTCAGGCGAAAAAACTGGGAGACAATGTTAACCAACCAACTGACCCGGGGGCTTTGGCTGCTGATAATGACGTTTAATTTGAGGAGAAATGGTTGAATTCGCCCAAAATGTTTCGAGTACCCTTTACGCCAGCGTCAAATTTCACCAACTTTCTCATTCAAGCTCGACCTGGCGTGGATCATTTCATCAGAACTTTCAAAAGGGCTCAAGCTCGGCTAGTGCCGCGTACAATTTCGACGAGTTTCCATTGCCTTAAACTGCCACGAATGCTGTTCGGTCCTTTAAAGCCGACTACACTACTTATTTGCATTGTGAGTAGGTTTAGAGAATATTAGTAGTTTTTTATCCAGACTTCTAGTCAAACCCATGTCGAGAAAGCTTATGAGAACAGTTCCTCCTCACCAAATCCGGCCAAAAGTCGGTAGAATTGTTGCGAGTACTCCATTCCTATTTCCTGGGCCTATTTAGCACGAAGTTAATGCTTAGAATAGGTGCATGTGCTCTTTTTGGCCGAGGTCGCGGATGGCGCATGTCAACAGTTGCTATGGAGACAACGCCAACTGGAAGGTTCCAGTCTAGACAGACGAGCTCCGCTGACGAGGATTGTCTCAGACGAGGGGACTTGAAATGAATGTCAAGTGAAGTTAATGATGCCTTTTCCAGAGATTCCTCGAAAACCAGTTGCTTCACCTCAGCACAAGTTGACCGGATTTTCGCTGATTACTTTCTCGAAGATGTTGCAGTAACCGGAACCAAAAGAGGCCGTCTCGACAGGCAAACAGCCGACCACGTGGTATCCCCCGTCACCTTTACGTAGACTCGACGTACATGCAAATCTCCTCTTCACACACACACACACACACACACACACACATTCACTTTGGAGGGAAGTGAGCCCCACCAATCATGAGACAAATGCGTCTTGGAAGATCACTTTTTATTTTAAAGTCAGTTCTGGTTGGCATAGCATTAGAACGTCGTCACTTTCATACTGTTTGAAGCAGGTCTCGAACCCACTAACCCGTACGCCTGGAAACTCATTGTTGCGCGGCATTTGGACGAGACAGCCTTCATGTCGCTTCACGTTTGTCGGCACCACCCGAGCGTGTGTCCGTCTGTCGGCGTATTTTGCTGTACATTCGTGTCGGCAAGGTGTACGGGTTCGAGTCGCCAACAAGGCGTTACTTAGGCCTGTTAATGTTTTATTTATTTATTTATTTATTTTCGCATTTTTTCCAGTTGTACACCAAATAACGCCTCGCCGGAATCGGTGAGACTTTGAGTCATTGCTTCTTGGCTCGTAGACCATTAAGCAAGTTTTCAAAATGAGCTGGGGTGGGGGAAGGCGAGGGCGAGGGCGAGGGCGAGGGCGAGGGCGAGGGCGAGGACACACGAGACGGCCAGTTGTATGCATTTGCGCTTCCGCCTGTTGAGTTGATGCACAATTGTGTCGCCAATTCACCAGAGACTTGTCATCCTCGCCCGACTTGTCGGCTTGTGGCGCTACCAATCACCGTCACCCCTCGCCCTCCGTGCCTCACCCATTCCGCCTCATTGTGCGTTTGTCGTCTCGGCGTTGCGGCTGCACTGCCGCTGACGCTGCCGGCCCATCTCGGCCCTCCTCGGCCACACGCGAAGACGACACAGCACCAGTCGAACAACCTCCCCCGC